TGAAATTCACAAGATCACGGGTTATAAGAGGCAGACAACTGCCCACACCATGTGTATGCTATCGCTATTTATTGTGGTTTAACCTGTCAAAGACAAAAACATAAAGAAAATTCTGCATCAAGCCTTGTAATAAGTACGTAAAGTTTATTTATATAGCACCTTTCACAGACGTGTGTCACAAAGTGCGTTAAAAGCTAGTTGTTTTAAAAGCATTAAAAGCTTTTTGAAATAAAAATGTCTTTAGCTTCTTTTTGAAGGTCTCCACTGAGTCCAAAGCCCGTAGAAATAAAGGAAGTGCATTCCACAGTCTGGATGCAACAGCCTGGAAAGATCGGTCCCCTCGAGTTTTACAGTGAGTGTGGGGGACCACTAAAAGGTTTTGGTTTGATGACCTCAGGTTACGAGAAGAGGTATGTGTACGAATCACATCAGCAATGGGGGGGGGGGTCCCTGTAATGGTGTAAAAGTTTTAAAATGGGACCTAAATCTGATTGGTAGCCACTGCAGCGACTTTAACACAGGGGTCATACAAGCTCCCTTGTTCAAGCCGGTCAGCAGCCTCGCTGCTTAGTTGAACAACCTGTAGACGAGCTAGCCCTTTCATGTTTAGACAAGTAAACAGGCTGTTACAGTAGTCCAGTCTTGTAGAGACAGAAGCATGTATCATCATCTCGAGTTCACTTGTTGACACGATGGATCTAAGTTTTGAAATGTTCCTCAAGTGAAAAAAGTAGGTTCTTACTATCTGATTTAAATGTCCCTCCAAAGAAAAAGCTTCATCAAAAACAACACCCAGGTTTCTAAGCTTATGCTTCTGTGAGGAACCTAAATCACCCAGATGCTGTTTAATATCAGGTATTGCACTGCCTGGTGCAGTAATCAAAGTTTCTGCTTTGGCTGGGTTTAGCTGGAAGCAGTTATTGTTCAAACATTGTTTAATGTTGGTTAAACAATCTGGTTAGTTTGCAGTTGGTTCTCACTGGGTAATCTGGTTTCCTCCCACAGTTAAAAGTCATGTAGTTATTCGAGTTAGGTTAATTGGTGATTCTAAACCTGTTGTTTGTCTCTATGTAATAGACTGGTGACCTGTCCATGGTGGACCCTGCCTCTTACTGTATCACTTCTGGGTTATGCCCCAGCCCCCCTGCAACCCGGATAAAGCTAGTAGGATGGCTACAGTGGAAGTTGTTGTAAAGTGGAGACAAAACCATTTATGTTAGCCAGACTCTAGACTTTGTTGAACATTATGTAATATGAAGACAACATGTAGTATTCAAGTGACCAAGTAGTATTGAGGTAAAAGTTATTGAATACTGTTGGAATATCCATCCATCCATCCATTCGCTT